ACTGTCAGTCGCTTCATGACTGATATCTTTTTTTAACTCTATGAATCTCTTTGGGCTGTGAAGTAACACAAAACAGGAAACAGGAAGGAAACCTACCCAAAATAGAAGCTAGCATGTTTAAGCAACATTAACCAGGAGTAGTGAAAATGTCAGCAGTCAAAAAGGAAGACTCATACTGGATTTGCACTCAGCAGAGCTGTCTGTCTACGTTGCAGAGCTTACTGAGCCATGAGAAGTGGTGTTGGATGAGACATATGAAAAAGAAGGAGATTAGATAAAGAAGCTAGCGTAAGAGGCTGAGCAGTTAGTCTGGAAAATAAACTTCTGCCCTGTGAGAAATTGGATGCAGGAGATTTATGGCGACTCAAACCACCAGGCTGCTTAAGGATTTGTGACCTGGCTTTGCTGTGGGCATCAAGGAAGTATCAGCTGCAGCGTGAGAGAGCAAGGTCTGAGTAGAGAAAATGTATCAACAGGACTCAAACTAGAAAATACTGTAGATATTAAGCTTGTTTGTCATAAAATGTTACTCACTATTGTTCATGATGGTTTTGATGGTGGTTAAACTGTTAGTTTGAGTGAACACATGCTATTTTAAAGATATAATGGCTATTACATGCAATTTTAGAGATGTGTTTTATGCTTTTTGTGGTGATATCAGCTTGATTTATTGTTTTCTGAATAAAAGTGCCCCCTCAAAATCTAATCCACGGACTCAGATTCTATATAAAATGAGACATCTACACATTGTTGCTTATATATTACATTAAACCTAAAATTTTGGAGCAACTGGAGGCTTGAATTTTAAAGCCAGTCTCTTCATTATAGTTACAGTCTCTCGTATGTGTTACACACTCACAAATACAGCAGTTAAAAGTTACCTACCTTTTCAGAAAACTTGTACACCAAACACACCTGCATCAGTGGGTGTTCAGAAATCTGTCTATTCGGCTACTGAAATAAAATGTCTGTGGGTCTTCTTTCCTTCTTTTACATATACAAACCCCCAGGGCTGCTTAACATGTGACTGTCAGAGTGAAACAGCCCACTCCAGTAACCCGAAAAACTTCCTGTGCGGTGAATAACTGGCCTATAGCTTGAAGTCTTTGCTGATGTTTAAGAGAATGAAGGGTTTGGTTGCTGGGGCTGTACTATGATTTCACAGGTATTGCTGTAACTGTCAGTGCAGACTACAAACAAAATATGTCCACAGTTTATTTGTGACACTAGAATTTTGTTGTTTAAAATGTCATTAGAACTAACTTCTGCATCATTCTTTTGAATGAAAAGGCACCAAGGCTATGATCAAGTGTGTCAATGTCAAAGTTTCCTGAGTTAGGTTTTATCATGAGGTGTTAAGACTTTGTCTATTTTCATGCAACGGCAAGTAAATGAACAAAATCCATCTATTCTGAGAGAGTGAAAACCAGTTTCAGATGAACTTGCCAGCGCTTTGGGTATTTCTCTTAATTTGAGCAGGAACATAGTGACATTTCAACATCTGCTCTGCCAAGTGCAAAAGGAAGCAGGGTAATATTTGCATTTATAAATCAAACCCAAATTCTTTGTGTACGTTATTTTTTGTCCTTGTTTATTATTTAAGTAGGTTGCGGAGAGGCAGACAGGAAAGACCTGCAACAAAGGCCACCAGCCAGACTTGAACCTCTGACGCAGCACACACACTGCACCATAACCGTTCAGCTCTCAGGACACTCCAGCAAACCCCAATTCTAATTTGTGACATTTCATTCAACCTTTATTTTATTTATACTATAAACACTTAATAAAAAGTCTACTGTTTATTAAGTTATG